ATTTATGAAGGCAATTTTATTTGAATTAAAAACAAGAAGTCTTGCAACATGTAATATCAAACCAAGTCCTCAATTTTTTTTCTTCCTCTTAATTTGTAACAGAGACTCTAAGAAAACAAAATCTAAGGTTAAGGAAATTTCCATCAATGTGAAGATAATATTTTCCAAAATTAAAATAACAAGTTCCTCCCTGGTTAACATAACTGATTTAAGTTGCAGATACATGGCTGCCCCGGAGATCCCCTTTCCTCCCTGAGCTGGAAAGGGCCAAGTCCACATCCTCAGCCGCAATTTGCAAGTCCTCTCTGGGACCACCTTTTTTATGAAATGCTGCACATGCTACCAATGCTACATAAATATTTCATGATACATTACCCAGTCCTGGAATTTCCTACAAGATTGCACAAAATCTTTTAAATGGTGCACTGTAAGCCATAAAATAATCAGATATAAAAAGTAAGCTATGTCAATCCCTTCATTAACAACTGTTTTTTACCAGAATTTTAGAAAGTAGTATTACTACACTTTAATCCCAAGAGAGAGATTTGCTATTTATATTACCTTACTAAAAGGCTTTTAGAATTACACTTATTTTTTACATCAGATAATATTTCTCAATTAAACAGGAGCCTTCCTGTTGTAATCTATCCACCAAAATGGCCCAGTTCAGCCTGAAAATAGACTGTAGACTGTGCACTGTAATGTCTAGCAGTATCTGATACACAGTGAAAAATAAGTTTAATTGACTGGCATAAATTGTGCCTCGAGCTTCACAAATAGGTTCCCTTATAATAAAATCAAGTATGATGCTTTAGTTTCCTTATCTGCAGATAAAAGAACTAGAAACCATTCAGAACCAGCACAGCTTTAAAATGCCATTTAACATTTTACTTTATTCTACAGCCACCCAACCCCCAACCCCCAACCCCAGCTTCAAATTTAGTAATTTGGGAAAGAACAGTTCAATAAGCCAAAACACCCCCAGGGAAAATAGGCTAAGATCAAGGAATTAAATTTCCAAACTAAGCAATGTTTCCATGTTGAGGGACCTTCAGTAACATAATAATGAGAAAACACTTTCAAATTTTACAAAACACTATAGAAATGTAAGGTGGTATGATACTGTCAAACTGTGAAGGGTGTCTTTTCAATAAAAGGAGGTGCTGGGATAATCAGATTATCCTCTCCTATGCAACAGGGGAATCACTCCTCTCAAAAGAGCCCCTCCCCTAAAGGAACTCTATTGTCAAGATAACTGAGTAGACCCCAAAAAATTTAAAATGCTGACTTTATTTCTATAACCTATGAATATTTTGCTTACTTTGTGCTGACTGCATTGAAAAAAGAACATAACCTTTTTTTTTTAAGAACATAACCTTTTATGGTAATACTGCAGTTGCTAGATTTTGACTGTCAAGAAAAGGAGTGGAGAGTGTTGTGAAGGGAGAGCCTGGAGCTAGACACAATGTGTAGCTTTTACTAACCCTGTAAAGCTCATTAAACAGTTTGGAGTATTTAGAATCTTTAGCTTTCGATATCAGCAACAAACTGCCCACTTTTGTAGTAACCTGTAACCTACTGAAGGAATATCACCTTCCTGAACTCTGCGGGCCTTAAACTCGACTAATGGTTCATGTTAGAAAACTTAAGGTAAATCAATTGAAAATATAAAATAAAATCCAAGGACACCTAGAAGTCCAAAGATTGTGTTTTCCACCTCGGCTCGTCTGGGTGAGAGTCGGTTGGGAGCCGGCTGCCCTCTGGTGGCTAAATTTGAGAACTGCTCCGAACAGCTGCCGTCGGTGCTCTTCCCTACTGCGCTGTGGCACCTGGAAGCCTCTACCCAGCCTCTGCGCAGCCCTAGCCTCTCACCAAAAAGTCCAATTCCTCTAAAGCCTCAGTGAAAAGCACATGAAAGAACTCTTCGCTCACAATAAGCCCGCTGGGGATATTCAGATTATCCTCTTTACTTCGTACAAATGCTAATTTTAAAAATCCTCAATCAAAACCTCAGGGGAAATGGAAGGAGGGTGAAGAGATGTGGGCCTCCCTTCCCTGCTGCCTAGGAGGCCTGGATCTCCACAAATCTCTGATTTAAAAATAGAGGAACTGAAATCGGGTCATTCAGAAACCTGCTCCCCCCTCCTCCCCCTGCAGGGCTTTCTCTCCTCACGAGTGAGCACTTCACACTCACCTGTCCTCCAGTCGTTTCCTCACCTCCTATAACCTCAGGCTGAGAAAGTGAAACTACCGTAGACGTCTAGAGCTTAGAGAGCATCTCCAACTGTATTCTAAACACGTGCAGCTGTCCTCCCAGCTCAGCTGTCCCCTGAGCAAATGGACTTTGTGGCATCAGCAGAAAGGACACAGCGGTGGGATCAAGACCAGTGCTGTCCAGTAGAGCCGTCTACAGTGACGGACGTGGTCCATACCACATGGTCTACTATGGCACTCACTCCACTCATGGCTTTTGAACATTTGAAATGTGACCAGTACAATTAAAGAATGAAAGTTTTAAGTTTATTTAATTTTAGCCAATTAAAATAAAATTGCCACATGTGGCTACCATACTGGATATAACACCGCTGTCCAGATCTTGCATCCCTAATCCATTCTCAAATATTATCACCTTGACACAAACCACCCCTCCCTCTCAAAAAGATGTTTCAACTGCCATATGGAGAATAACTTGCCAGAATTACACAGCACACACACACACGTATGCACACATAGGAAACAAGGCCTCTGCCTTCCAAGTGTACATCAATAGGGATGCGGATTCTGCAGACACATAATGAGACCAAAACGTGGGGACCTGCAGGTTGGGCTGGGGGAGACCTGCAACTGAAGCGGGGCCCTGAAGGTCAGAAGGTAGGAGGAGAAGGAACACGAGCATTTTAGAGGATGGAGTACAAAGGTAAGGAACAAACAATGGAAAGTCCATTCAGGATACCATTAGAAGCCCCATCAGATTCAGGAGTGGTTCCTGTAGGAGAGCAAACTAGGACCAACATAAAAATGAAAGAACCAGGGAAAGAAAAATGCGAGTAAATGGGGGGGGGGGACCAATTAAAGAAACACTGCAAAGGAGGAGGGGACCAGACTTTGGAAAAAAGTAAATGTTGGGGATGATGGAAGAAAAGAGATTACTCAAAAATTTAAACCAAGGTAGGTGGATGATTGCTGGTCCCATAAATGGGGCAAACTGGGAGAAAAGGAAGATGGTAAACACTCAATTTGTTGAGGCTGAGGGCACTGAGCCGGCCAGGTGCATCAATAAGCACTGTGACCAGGTGGGGATGAGACTGAAGTCAGAAGAAAAGGAGCAGCTGAAGGATGAGACCAGAAGAGAAGAAACTCCACGCGTGGAGAAAAGTAGCATCTCTGCAGGGATGAGGAGCAAACAGCCTGGAGAGACCCCAGGACATCTCGCTGTTTTCCCCCTCAGGAGGGTCCCTGTCTCCTCCCCACTGTACGCCATGCAGAGATGAAGACTCCGCACATATTTCAGTTCCAGAGCCTAAACAAGCAGGAGGAGGAGGCAGGAGGAGGACATAGGGCCCCAGGAGAGACGAGCCTTAGAGGGTTTTGTCCCAGTAGAGTAAAAAGTTTGCCACAGACTGGACAGTGCTGTGGTCCCACCTGACATGTGTGACAGCAAGACCCACGCTTGTATTGCAAGAGCAGCAGCAATGGCAAACCCATGGCACGCATGCTACTGTTTTTTTAATTAGTACATTTTAGGTATATCTAATGACAATATATAAATACAATATAATGACATTCATCATTGGAAATTTGCACCTTTACATAATCTCTCTTGGTTCTTATTTTTCCCCCTTCCCCTGCCCTCCCTTCAACCCCTCTACCCCTCCCTATTTACAAAGACTTTGTTTCCATTTTTTCATTTTCTCATATTAAAGATGTTAATGTATGAATTGTTTTTTCTAAAGTAAAACCTCAGAACTCAGGTGTAATTGCAGTGTTGGCACTTTGGGATAAATAAGTGGGTTTGGGGTTGCAGTTTGGGCGTTCATCTCTGAAAGGTTCACCATTGCTGTAGAGTTTGGTCATTCCCAAACCTTGCAATCTGTCAGAATTATCTGGAGGCTGCAGGTGAAGCCATCCTCAGAAATCACATGTTTAACACCCTGAACACCTGATCCTCATTTTAGGGTCCCCAGGTGACTCTAACAAGCAGACAGGCTCGAGAACCACTCTAAATGCCAGATGTGCAACGTTCCTAGCCTAGTAGGTTGGAGCGCTCTTTAATTCTCCTGACGACAGACATGCAGACACACATATTTTCTGTGTAAACATCTACAGGTAGTAAGCTCTTCTTGCATACCAAGCACAATCTGAACCCTAGTCCCATGAGGTCGGTATAACATGCACCTAAGGACACTCTGACCCAGAGAGGTCTAATTGCCCCTTGAAATACAGGGCCCCCCCAGAAGAGCTGGGGGGGGGGGACCACGCTCTCACCTCCGCCTTGCTCCCCAGCCCAGCCCCTCCACAGCTGTCCCCAGAAGCAGACAGAGGTATAGGAGGGACACAGGAGGCTGCTGACCACACAACCTCCACTCAGGCCCACAACTGCCCCGGGCCACCTGCCTTTGTCAGGCTTCCCTCAGCACGGTCCTTTGAGTCGCCTGGCCGGAAAAGACCTGGTTACACCAGGACAAGAGGATGCAGAAGTACTTTGATTATTCTTGTTCAAATCTACACACTATAGGAACAGGTTTTACAAAGATTTTATACTTCTCTGACCAAAAAAAGTAGTAAGAGAACCTCGGTGACATGGAAGGAATGCTCTCCTCCATCCCCTTTCCTTAAAAATGACAACAAAAGCAGCAAGGCTGGCCCGGCCTGGCCAGGGTTTCCGGGCTCCTCCACACTCCAGCTGGGGCAGCAGCGCTGTCCAGGACAGGCCCGGGCCCAGCCTCCGGGAGCGGGGAGAGGCTGGGTCCCACCCGCCACCCAAGCCGGGCCTTCCTTACCCACAGGAGCACAGCTCGCAGATGCAGCTCCTCCTCGCGGGGGCCATGGCCCGGTGGCCTCTCCCCGGGCGCGGAGGGACCTGGGCAGCGAGCGGGGCATGCACCGGACGCGGGGCCGGCCGCCCGAGCCAGGGGCCAGGCCCGGTCCTCTGTGACGCGGCCGGGGCGGGGAGGCAGCGGCGTCACAAGGGCGCCCGGCCGGCCTCGAGCGAGCGGGACACGGCGGCGTGCAGGTCAGCGGCGTGCAGGTCGGCAGCGTGCCCGGCCCGGCGCCTCTGAGCACCGGCTACCGTCAATTAGCCTGGGCCCACCTTCTGCCCCGCCAGCCCCAGGCCTCTGAAAATTTGCCTCCCTCCGGGTTCTCATTTAAGCTGGGCCCGGAGGCCTCACCCGGAGACCAGGTTTGGGCTCTCTGCTTTCTCCTGCTCCCTGCAGCCTCCCCTGCGAGTTTTCCAGCTCCGGTCCCAGCGCCATGGCCGGCCGGGCAGAGCCTGTTCTAGGAGGTCGAAAGGGGATTCGGAGAAGAGCAAAGTTTGCAATCGTTCTTAAGAGCAGAGCTTCTCGGCTTCCTAGATGGTAGAAACTCTAAGGGGGTGGTAAGGGGCCGGGGGAGCAGACGGGGCCGGTCCGAGAGGAGCTGGTGGGAGTCAACTCAGCCACAGGCTGCGCTGCCTGCGTGGGACACCAGTGGGCCTTGCCCGAGGCTGCTCTTCCCAGCTCCCTAAACATTATCCCGGAGCCTTCCAGAGTGATGCTGAGGACCAGGACCAGGGCTCATGTCCAGTCCCTTCCGACTTCACACGATCCTCGTCTTCCACAGCAGTCAGGTACAGTGGGTGTGGTTCACTGGTGCAGAAAGAGGGCACTGGGGCAGCTCCCTGTTAGCCTGTCCACTGTGTCATGTGCTGAGCTGAGCGTGAGCAAGTTAATCATTGCGGAATGGCCAGAGGAAATAATGATGTCTGTTGAGATGCACAGAACTGGGACATCTTGTGGCAAAGTGACTGGGGTTGTGTGTGTCGTGTGGGGTCCAAAGGCACTCGCCGGTCTGTGATCACTGTCTCCTATATAAACCTCCCCGAATCAGCCTTCCAGTAAGATGGCTCTTAAGGAATGAGAATGCTTGCATCCATAATCACCTAGCTCACCACATAATAGTCTCTCTGCCATTAACTTGCCTCTTGGCTGATTGGTTCTGTCATTTTCCCAGTCAGAGTGTGTGGTAACTGATGCCCCCTTCTATTCAAACTGCCTTGCCCACCACCATGGGACTCCCAGCTGCTTCTGTCACTGCTTTCTGCACTTCGTAGAGACCTTGAAAGGTGAAGATGGAATGGATAACATCCTCAATAACAGCCAGCAAACTACTGGCTAGTGCTGGACAGTAGGACAACCTCCCTCTGCCCTTATCCTTACTGCCTTCTGTCTCCTGCTTCTACCCAACTGTACCTTAACCCACCTAAAGTCCTCCCTAAACCTGCTCCCAAGATTTCCCAGCTATAAACTACTGTCACTTAATGTTCACCAAACCATTTCAGATATTTTTCTATGAGTGCTCTCTGCTCCTCTCTCTCTCTCTCTCTCTCTCTCTCTCTCTCTCTCTCTCTCTCTCTCTCTCTCGTACGTAATGATTACATTCATCGAGCGGAGTTGGTGAATGTACATAACACATGCTATTTTTTTTTTTCCTTTTCTCCCGCTCCTTCCTTCATAGTTTGGTCCCCTTTGAACTTGCAGAAGTTCTATCTCCCTGTTTCCTATTATCTTTTTTCCTTTTTAATTTATTTATATTTTGAGTTTCTCATACAAGAGAAACCATGTGATATTTAAACTTGTATCTGATTTATTTCACTTAAACTTTTGGTCATAAGATGCATCTATTTTCCCACAAATGAATCAAATTTATCTTCTTTTTGGCAAAGTAGTACTACATTGTATATAAATACCACCTTTTATTTTGCTCTTTATACTTCTCATACGAGAGAAACCACATGGTATTTAAGCTTGTGTGTCTGATTTCATTTAACATTGTCTTCAAGGTGCATCCATTTTTCTACAAATGGTTCAAATTCATCGTTATAGCAGAGTGTAGTATTCCATTGTGTATAAATATCACATTTTATATCCATTCATCTGTTGAACATACAGCCTGTTTCCAAGATCTGGCTATTATGAATTATACCGCTATAAATATTGGTATATATATTAAATATTGGTATATATATTACATTGGTATAAATATTGGTTTTGATATAATATCTTTAACTCTTCCATGAAAATGCCTAGAAGGGGAATAGCTGGGTCAAATGGAATTTCCAATTTTAGTTTTTTGAGGAATCTCCACAATGATTTTCATAGTGGTTGTATTAGTTTACATTCCCACCAACAGTGTAAAAGAGTTCCTTTTTACCTGCATCTGTTATTATTTGATTTTTTAAATTAAGTTTCTTGGAACAATTTAGATATACATAATAATCACATTCATCATAGGGAATTTGTACCTATTATTTGATTTCTTGATGTTTGCCATTCTCTAATAGCCAGGACATTGACTATTTCTTCATGTATGTCAGGGATGGGGGGTGCTGAAGGGGTATTTTTGTGGGTGAGATCCCCAAGAAAAAGAAAACACAAGGAGCTGACATCAGCAACAGTAACAAGAGCAAGTGTCTTTATTTCTCAGCCTGTATAGCCCGCTGCATAGCCTTACATCATTATGTCCTTACATAACTGTATAACACATGCTCAGTAGTCTATGCCAAGTCATGCTTACATAAGTGTGTCCTGTGGTGCACATGTGCTAGATGTCAGGGTTGTGTCCTTATGGGCCCTCAGGTGCCCTGGGCTTTGAAGCAACCAAGGTAGTTCCCTACAATGTATTTATGGGTCATTTGTATTTCTTCTGTGAAGTGTGCATTCATTTCAGTTGCCCATTATTTTGATTGGGTCTTTTATTTTGGGGGATCTAATGTTTTTTAGTTCTTTATATATTCTAGATGTTAGTCCTAACACCTTAGATCTAATTTTTTAGTTCTTTATATATTCTAGATGTTAGTCCTCTTAAGTTGTCTCTTCACTCTATTGGTTGTTTTCTTCATTATGTAGAAGCTTTCTAATTTGATATGATCTCATTTGTTGATTCTTGATGTTATTTCTTGTGTGGTTTTTGGCTCTGTTCAGAAAATCTTCATCTCTCAAAAGGCTAATCTAGGGCCGGGGATTTAGCTCAATGGTTCTGCCACCTGCTTTGCAAGTACAAGGTCCCGAGTTTGATCCCCGGTACAAAAAAACAAAACAAAAAAACCAGGCAAATCTGGAGGTTAGTATAAAATACTGACAAAGAACTAATCACAGAGAAAAAACTGACAAACCTACATGCTCATATTACAAATCAGAACACTGAAGCTGAGAGGTGAACTCAAGATTACATAACTGCCAGGTGTGGTGGCACACACCTGTAATTCCACCACTCTGGGAGACTGAAGCAGGAGAATCACAATTTCAACCCCAGTGTGGGCAACTTAGCAACTTAATGAAACCCTGTCTCAAAATAAGAAAGGGCTGGGGATGTAGCTTGGAGTGCAGGCCCTGGGTTCAAGCCCCAGTATCATTGGAAAGACAGACAGATGGGAGGGAGGGAGGGAAGAAAGGAAGGAGGGAAGGAAGGAAAAAGCAAAGAAAAGAAAGAAGGAAGGAAAGAGAAAAGAAAAAGAAAGAAGGAAGGAAGGAAAGAAAGAGAAAGAGAGAAAGAAAGAAAGAAAGAAAGAGAAAGAAAGAAAGAAAAAAAGAAAATAAAGAGCAGATCATCAATGAGCAATAGATCTCAGATTCAGACTTGAGTTGGTTTTTGTTTGTAAACTTGTCCTCCAGAGAAAAGGCAAAAAAAAATGAATGGATAAGCTGGAGATCTACGAGCCTACTGCATATTTTATCTGAAAATTTTACATTTTGTGCCAGGAGAGTAGCTCAATAGTAGAACACTTGCCTACCACACACAAGATCCTGGGTTTGATCCCCATGTCCTAAGGAGAAGAAAAAACTACATCTTAATATGGCCATTTTTGTTAAATATTTTCCACAAAATATTTTAGTAAATTTCACAATGTAGCTGCACAATTTTTATTCTTTTGCTTTATAACATACCCAACCCCAGGTCCATTGTTTGGTACCATTTGAAAAGCTACACTTTCTAGACTCTGTTGAAAATCGATAGTCATTCCTCTGGGTACAAAGCATTTTAGCAAGACTTTGTCTTTTTAGCAACTTTAACTTTTTAGGATTGCTAAACTTCATTGTCACCAATTAAGTCTAGCCCAACATAAGACACAAATGAGACCCTGTAGGGAAACGCAAAAGCACAAGATGGCAGCACTTCAGTTCAGGCTGTGAGGGGAAGGGGACCTGGGAAGCAGTGGGTTCTGTGTCAAAGCTCCAGCGCAGGTGCATCTAGTGTGAGTAACTTCCACCACCAAGGTCAACACTGGCAGTGTGAAGAGCTTACATAACCAAGGTCGTACCAGGCACACGGCCACTACTGTGTAGGTTTGGAGTAAATGGAGACTGAGCAGCGGAGGGCTCCTGTGAGTACACAGTGGCTGGGACTCAGAGCAGCTGAGCAGATGGACCGTGTTTAACCCAGTCCTCAATTCTGCATCTCTTCCTCAGGCTGCTGAATCTCAAGTCTGCACTGGTGGCCAGACAGACCTCTGTTCCCCTTTCATTCACTCATTCCAGACTGGTCACCAATGATGAGCTTGGAACTGTGCTGAATGAGGAAGACAACTGTCAGTGCCCATGGAACGCAATCTAGAGAGGATCAGAAGAGTCAAAATATTGCCCAAGAGGATCATTAGTGAATAAGAAAGAAAAATGGGAGACTTGCTGAATTCTAATAAATATTTAGGGAAGAAATAACATCAATCTTACACATAACCTCTTAGGAAACAGGAGGGACACTTCCCAATTCACTCTAGGAAGCAAAATGACTCTGATTGCAAAGCTAGAGGGAAAATGTCACATGAAAACTATACACCTATATTTTTCACATATATAAGTAAAAATCTATAGCCAAGTCCCAGTCCTGAGCCCTAGCTTGGGATGCCACCTGGAGCTGCCCCACCTGGCCAGCCTTGTTCTGGGACCCAGACCCCTGACTCGGGGTGAATGAGGATGAATGGCAGAGAGACACGGAGTCAGTTTAACAGCCAGACAGCCAGGGGCTCTCGCCTCTTAGTGGGCAGAGGAGCCCCTGCATCTCGCTCACCTCGTCTTCATTCACCCACACAGGGGCACGAGCAATCAGAGTGACACAAGAGTCATCTGCTTTCCAATACCCATCAGGACATCTCTGGTAAACAACTTAACCTCAGCTGTCTTAGGTTTTCCCTGCAATGTGCAGTCACCCCGAGTGCAGCCTTTCTCCTTTGCGCTCAGAGGAGGCCAGTGAGCCCTCAGTGCTCCTCTGGTTTCTGACAAAAATCCTTTTAAAACATTAGCCAATAACAAAAAGCCAGCAACATATAAGGATTAGACACCATAAAATAAGAACCAAGATGCATCATGTAAAGGTACAAGTTCCCAATGAGAAATGTAAATGTGTTGTATACCTAAAATGTACCAATAAAAGAATTTAAGAAAAAAAAATTTTTAATAAAAAAATTTAAAAATAAAGAAATTTGAAGGGGTTCTCAAAAAAAAAAAGGATTAGACACCATGACTAAGAGGATTATCCCAAGACTACAGGTGGTTTTTACACTGGAAATCAATTAATGCAATACACCACATCAATAAAACAAAGCAAAATAAAATAAAAACAACTTAATCTCAACAGATTCAGAAAAAGCATTTTACAAAGATCATTCTTTTTTTTTAGTACATGTTTGCAGTTCATAATGATTCATTTATGGTGGGGAGTTTGTACATATACACAACACATCTTTTTCTTTTTGTCTCCTTCCACTCCCATCCCTCCCTGCTCCCTCCAACTCTTGTTTTCTTTCCTATTTTCAAAAGCTCTATTTTCATTTTTTTTCTTCAGTTCTTTTTAAATCCCTTTTCCCTTCCTTTCCACCCCTCCTTCCATCTCTTGTTCTCCTTCCCATTTGAAAAAGATCTCTCTACTTACTATTATTTATCTTTTATTTTGCTCTTCATTTATAAATTGGGTTTCTCATATAAGAGAAACTATGTGATATTTATTTTACTTAATGTGTGATTTATTTTACTTAACATTATGGTCTCAAAGAACATTCATTTTCTTACAAATTATTCAAGTTTATCCTTTATGGCAGAGTAGTACTCCATTGTGTATAGATACATTTTCTTCATCTATTTATCTGTTGATGGGGATATAGGCTGCCAAAATTTAGCTATTATGAATTGTGCAGCTATAAACATGTGTGTGCATGTATCACTGTAATATGACTATTTCAGGAAGATATCTAGAAGAGAAATAGCTCAGACAAATGGAATTTCTAGTTTTAATTTTTTGACTTTCTGATTTCTGTAGTGGTTGTACTAGTTTACATTCTCACCAGTGGAATATTATTCAGCAATATAAAGAAATGAGCTAATACATGCTATATTATGGATGGACTTCAAAAAGTTTGTTAACTCAGATACAGACATATATATATTTAGATACAATAATGTACATATAATTGTAGGTGTGGTTTTGAATACAATTATATATCATTTATATACAATTATATAAACTATTACATGAAAGTTTTAGAGAAGCCAAATCTACAGAGACAAAAAGCAGATCCATACTCCTTGTGTATCGGGGTCAGAGCAGAGACTGAAAGCAAACTGAGGCAAGGGTGCTTTCGGGAGTGGTAGAAATATTCTACAACTGAGCTGTGATGATGGAACTGTACACTTACAACAGATTAATTTTATGTTATATTTCAATAAATCTTTTTGTAATTCTTTAGCTGGGAATGTAACACAATGGTGGAGTGCTTGCTTAGCATGCACGAGACCCTAGTTTTATCCCAAACACTGAAAAAAATTCCTTGCATAAAGTCCCTTTCTTTTCTTTTTCTTTCTTTGTTTTGTTTTGTTTGGTACAGGGAATCAAACTCAGGGCCTCGCACTTGCCAGGCAGGGTAAAGTCCCTTTCAATATCATATCAAATTATTTCTTGAGTATTTTAGCTCAAGATCTCCCTTGTTTCCATATAAAGTGGCAGACTGAACATATACATTTATCTTTCTCTCGTAAATCCCACTAAAATGAAAGTGATAGAATGAGAGGGTAAGTACAAAGATAGGATAATAAAATCAAAAGTTTGGGAGCAAAAGCCACAATGAAGAATGGCCACTGACTTAGTAGAGTCAAGAAAGCTGAATCCCAGCTGGGCATTGTGGCACATACCTGTAATTTTAGCACCCAGAAGGCTGAAGCAGGGAAATCATGAGTTCAAGGCCAGCCTGGGCAACTTAGCAAGACTCTGTCTCAAAATTTAAAAAATAAAACTAAAGAAATCTAAATCTTTAGTAGTGGAAAATCCAGGAAGTAGAATTTTTACCACAGAACTTTCTAAAGATCCAAGAATTGATGGCCTCAATTGAGGTATAGATGCACTATAAACAGAATTGTATGAAGATCTGAATAAGAAGCAATTAGACCCCATATCTAGGCAATACCAAGTTGTTATCTAAGACTAGCAGTTTTTATTTCCTCAGAAAAGGTAAGGCAGGGGGTCTCTGGACTAGAGGAATACCAGAGACGCTGAGGGCTGGGTTTCCACACTATACACAGGAAAATTAAGTCTGCATATAAACTTCCCACTCAGTAAGCAGACATGGTTTGGATGTGGTCCACCCTAAAGGGTCCATTATGAGTGACATTTAGTCCACAAGGGGTGGCACTACTGAGAGGTGGTAGAACTTGTACAAGGTGAGGCCTAGTGGTGGTCCTTAGGTCAACACAGCTGTGCCTCAGAAGCAAACCCTCCCCTCCACAACAGCTTTAATTTGGGAAAAAATAGGAAGAAACTTTAGCTTGAGAAAAGCTGGGGAGGACACAGCCCAGATGGGGATCAGGTCAGCCCCTTAACAAAAAAGTGAGAGAAAACAGGGGACTTCAGCTTGAGGAGCTCTCTTGTGGGGTTCATGGGTAGCTCAGCTGTTACAAACCCCAAGTCTGGCCCCGTCCACTTCCTCCTGCTCCTGGCTCAATGTGATCACTTGCTCGCTCCCACACACACACCTGCTATTGTCCTCACCATGTGCTATGAGGTGATCCACTTACTCAGTCTAAACTTCCAACCTTTAAAACTGAGAGCATAATAACCTTTTCTTCATAAATAGCCTATCTTGTCATTTTATCCTAGGTACAAAAAGCAAACTAACACCATTTATCAGGCTTACTTACATTCAGTAGAGGAATACTAGGAGAATCTAATGGACACCAGACAAAGGGATCTTTTGACTCAGACATAGTAGAAATAAGACTGGACAACTATTTCAAGCATACATACACTTGCACAGGAAAAGTTTATTGGGAAGAAGGGGCTTCAACCAGATATGGCCTTCAGCTGAAAGGAATGAGCAAGTGAGAGAGTGACAAAAGTCCTGATCACAAAACATGGACA